TACAAACATTAAAATCTGTATATCCCTAAAAATTATTATTATCTATCAACAATAAAATTCAAATATCAAATAAAATTTTAGATTGTCAAATACCGGGATCAAGTACCTCTACATCAAAATTGGATAGTGTCTCAAGTCCCAAAACTCCCATATCTCAAGCAAAATCAGAACTATCTAGTTTGGGATTAAATATTGGTTCGTGTACTGATTGTATTATTAATGTTAATATTGTAAATAATACACCTAGAATATGTATTAGTATTAAGTTTGATATTTGTTATTTGTTTATTCTTGAATATTTCGAAATAAATAATTAGATATGATTTAGTTCTTCATTTTCCAAATATCAAAATTCAAAATACCGTACAGTCCAGCAGCCGCTGGGGTAAACCCAAAATTTTGGGATTAAGGTTTTTTGAAAACGGATTTATCTTCTATAGGTGTCCTGCTTTTGATATCCGAGTGATGACAAAGTGGCATCTTTGGGGAAATTAAGATACAGTTTGATTCATTATCAATTATGTGAAATCGAGTGTTATTCGAGTTATCGAGTTATTTTGTGTGTTTTTAACGTAAAAAAATGTTTTTTATATTGATTTATTTAATAAAGTAGGTTTTTTCATAGGTATAAGTGATAACGAAACATTTTATGTACAGTGTGATTAAAAAAAGCATAATATATTTTCACGTTAATTGAAGGTAAAGCGAAAAATTAAATTTTTGCATTATGCATACTGTGTAGGTATGTATATACCTAATGTATGAGTGAAAGAATAACAAACACATTTTTTATACAGGGTATTTCAAAAATAACATTACTTCAATTGAAGGACTAGGGTAAATATTTGAAACAGGCATAACATAAAACATTAAAGTTTATCAGTTGGTATCAACCTCAGAATCAACTTCTTTATCGGAAACCACAACATCTTCATCCTCATTAACATTAGCCGGTACAGCGGGGGTCAGTTCGTTGCAACAATGTTCGTTCCCGTGACACATACAAAATATTGTGCAAGGCAATCTAGCACTTTTACACCTACATCTTTTTGTGCTACACGGACTGGCACTTGAACAAGAGCAACCAATCAATTGTAATATATCGGAAGGTGCCAACTCGGCTCTTTCTGGTAGGGTGACTGGTAACAAATGCTTTCCATTGGCATCTCTTCCGTTGAGAATAAATGTTTTTTATATCAACTGAGTTCCAAATTCTTTCTTTATCTGCCAGTAGTTCTTTCACGCTCTGATTATATGGAATATCTTCTTCGTCGTTATTCTGGCCTGATCGTCGTTTGGCTAACAAAATAACTTTTTGGCCCGTAAATCTGTTTCGATAGTCCAGCTGGTATCTGGCGTCTACTGTATAGCTAATCTTAGACTAACTTCAGAAGCCCAGGTATCATTCCTTTCTATACAGGTTTTCAAAATCGCTTCTTTAATTACCATTTTCTTAAAGTTGTCTTCTAAAGCGCGGAACTGGAAGGCCGCTCTCCATCGATGTGGGCGCTTTTCATCTTTTTCTAGTTCACACTTTAGTCCACAAAACAAACAGTTTTCTATGAAGATAAAGATTGGCACTTCTGAACGTCGCTGCATTTTCTTAAAAATCTTCTTTTTTTCTTAGCTCCTTCTTCTTCCTCCTCTTCTTCACACAACATGGCTAAAAATAATAATTTCTTCCTCTGAACTACCCATTTTCAATACTTCTATGTTGCACGCTCTAGTAGTTGAGCCTTGACAACTGTACTTTTTTCGAAACTCTCGCTTATGTTGCTGGTCTGTGGCGGTAAACTGTGCGATGTCATGCAGGATGCAGGTTTGTGCTGTGCTGGTCCGTACTGGTCCGTGTAGGTATAGTGTGCGCGATCTTTTAGGCGTAAATCTTCTCTGGCTGGTTGGCCAGACTTTAGTCCGCGGTAACACAAAATGCTTTTTTTGTTTTTTTTTTGCGTGTGAAGCGCTTTTGCGATTTTCCCGTTTAAAGTTTTATTTCGATTTGTGTCCATTAAAAACTCGCAAAAGAAGCAACAGTTTCTATGAAGCTGCCGAATGGTAAGGAAACAGCATTTGGAATTCCCGACCCGTTCAACGATCAATCTTTTGAGAAAGAAATAGGCGAGATCGGAGCGGTTAACGTTGAAAAGACGAACATGAAAGATAGGCTCGGATCGATCGTTGAACGGGCTGGATATTCGACGATTAAACGCAATTTACTGCTAGTGCCAGAGGTATGTGTAAAAATATATATTATTATTTGGCATATATTTTAGGTTTTTTAGTATGTGTATAGATTTTTTATGTTGTAATTTTGTGGTTACTTGTATATGATAATTATAATACTATAATAAAGAATTATAATTACAGGGTAGCCTTTAAGTTATTATAGGGTAGCCTTAATTGTTAATGCTTTTTTTATTTATACATTTTAGAAACTGTCCTGATGATGGGAATAAAATTCTCGAAAGCTTGACAAATTTGGAAAAAGTAGTTTTATTAGCCTAGTATGTGGTGATTATTGACTGCATCCTCACTTAAATTTTGAGTTTTTTGTTAAAAAATTTTAAAAATCGTAACTCCAAAATTACAGTAGCTAGCAAAACGCGGTTTTCAATTTAAGATTAGGAACAATATTTGCAACAAAATTTGTAAAAACATCAAAATCAAAGTCGCACAGAGAGAAATAAATTATTCGTGCGTATTAAATCAGTTTATTTAATTATGAATTCGAATAATTGTTATTTATTCATTACTTTAAGGTATTTTTTTTTCAAAAAATCTAAAAACACGCCAATTTTGTTTGTGAGGGGGACAACTTTTGCCCCAAAAATAATTGCAAAATCTTCCACCTTCTAAGCGGGGGTGCCATCCCCCAACTTTTTTCAAATGGGAAGGGGGGTCAAGTGGCGCCGCAATGAAAAGGGCCTTCTATTCTCTATATTTCCCCACTTCGTTTTTAAAAATCGGTTGAGTCATTTTGAAAATATGAAAGATTGAAATTTGAAAAGTACTTTTTGCAAAAAACGCATAAATTGAATTAATTAAAAAAAAACTTATCTTAATCAAGTAATGAAGCAAATGCTGAAAATGTTGCCCGTCAACCTCAATACAGTAAAACAAATTATTTTCAATCCGTTCTAGAACATTCTGAAGAACTTGCGGGGTCACTTCGCGACAAACATCAATAATTCGTCTTCGCAGGTCTTCTAATGAGGCGGGTGGAGTGCTATACACTTTACTTTTTGTGTGTCCCCATAGAAAAAAGTCTAAAGGAGTCAAGTCGGGTGACCGGGGGGCTACTCAATTGCACCCCTTCGTCTTATCCACCGAACGGGAAAGTTATTGTTTAAACAATTACGCACATTTTGAGAGTAATGTGGAGGTGCACCGTCTTGTTGAAATATCAGTTCTGCTGTAACGTATCCAGGATTGTTCTCTATGATATCAGTTAGGGCTGGGTCGATGGTATTTTTCTGTAAATCCAAGTACATATCACCTGTTAGATTTCCAGGAAGAAAAAAAGGACTCACAATAGAATTTCTAAAAATACCAGCCCACACTTTCAATTTCTGAGGGTTTTGTGTGTGCACCTCGTGAAAAACCCTGGGGTTGTCCTCAGCCCAGTACCGACAGTTGTGCCGATTAACTACACCGTTCAAAAAGAAAGTACACTCTACCTAACCTGATCGTTCAACCTTATGGCAAGTGAAAAAATGCGTAAACATCTAGAAATAATAAGAAAAAACAGCAAATTGGTCGAAGGAATTTATCCTTATCATTTACTCTGATAAATGTTTAAATAAACTTTTCAAATTTCAATCCTTCATATTTTCTCAATGACTTGACCGATTTTCAAAAACGAAGCGGGAAAGTATAGAGAATAGACAGCCCTTTTCATTGCGGTACCACTTGACCCCCCTTCCTATTTGAAAAAAATTGGGGATGAAACCCCCACTTAGAGGGTTGAAGATTTGACAACTGGCCGTTATGCCTTGCGGAACGTTTTCGATGGGCCACCCTGTATATAATAAACTAGTAAATCATCATTACTAATTGCTAACACAATTTTAGAACATGATTTATCAAGCTATTTGAAGTGAAAATTCTTTATGCGCGCTGGGAGTAAAAATTCAAGGTCGTGACATTTGAGCTAGCGAGACGGCCCTGACACACAAGCTAGTGGTAACGAAAAGTGGTAAGGGTTTAGAAATACGTAGTGATGCGACGTGTTTTTATAAGCAGTCCACGTGTTTATCAAAAATATTGATATTTTAATACAAATTTTGTAAAAGTGAATCAAACTATTACGTGTAAAAAACCATTTGTTAAGCGTAAAAAACTATTTGTTATACCTAAAAAACTATTTTTTGCGCGTAAAAAGCTATTTGTCACACATAAAAGACTATTTTTTACGCGTATAAAACTATTTGCTACTCGTAAAGAAACATTTCTTACGCATAAAAACTATTTTTTCAACATTTGTCCTTCATATCCTTCAATTTAATAAAATCTTTCTAAATAGTAGATGTTCTCTATAAAAATATTTTTCGATAATACCCTAAAATGACAAAAAAATGCATATTATTTAATTTATTTTTATTGTATTATTAAATATTACGTCCGTGTATGACGAGATCTCATCTTAGAAATCGCTAAAGACGAAAACTGATATGTTTTCATTTGGGTCGACAACGCCGAAGGCTACAAGCTTTTGGTCGGGCCATTCCTATATTATCCTGTTATTTTGTTTTAGTCGCAAAAGACGCTTCACGCAAAAAAAGCAAAAATCGCTTTCTGTGTGGCCACGACTATGCTTTGCCTAGTTATAGACCACGACTATACAGCTATGTCAGTGGTCACGGGACGCGAGAACAAGGTCATATAAAGTGGCAGAAAAAGAACAAAGGATTTGACAAGGAGTAAAGCTACTAGTTTCCTTATACTATGGTATGTGCATGCATTATCATTTCCCGACCGTGCGTAAATCAATTATTATTTACCTGACGTCATGCCGGTGACGCCCCACCTGGACTCGGACGAGCCGAACATGGTGGAGCCGCACAGGCTCTCTCCCATCGCGCCGAAGGGCGGCAGCCCGTGCGAGGGGAGCAAAGCGCCAGGCGTGCGGAACACGTTCGTCGTTTTCTTCCGTTTCTTCCATTTGGCGCGCCGGTTCTGAAACCAGACCTGGAATAGAAATGTGTGAATTAGATATGGGTTGGGTTATGATTGAACCAGTCAGTGGTTCATTAACGGGGGATTGAGACTAGAAGGAAATCAACAAATTCAAAATGTATTTTTTTTTAAACTGCGTTGATTCAACGAAGATCAATCATTTATAAGTATTTTTTTACTAAAAAATAGTTATTTTTGTATCTATCGCGCAAAGTGCTACTTTGGGGATTGATACTTGAATTTTTTAACGAGGCGTAGCCGAGTTGAAAAGTTAGTCGAGAGTACCAAAGTAGTTCGCGCACGAGTTGCAAACAGCATTTTTTCTACAAACATTAAAATCTGGATATCCCTAAAAATTATTATTATCTATCAACAATAAAATTCAAATATCAAATAAAATTTTAGAGTGTCAAATACCGGGATCAAGTATCTCTACATCAAAATTGGATAGTGTCTCAAGTCCCAAAACTCCCATACCTCAAGCAAAATCAGAACTATCCAGTTTGGGATTAAATATTGGTTCGTGTACTGATTGTACTATTAATGTTAATATTGTAAATAATATACCTAGAATATGTATTAGTGTTAACTTTGATATTTGTTACTTGTTTATTCTTGAATATTTCGAAATAAATAATTAGATATGATTTAGTTCTTCATTTTCCAAATATCAAAATTCAAAATCCCATATAGTCCGGCAGCCGCTGGGGTAAACCCAAAATTTTGGGATTAAGTTTTTTGAAAACGGATTTATCTTCTATAGGTGTCCTACTTTTGATATCCGAGTGATGACAAAGTGGCATCTTTGGGGAAAATAAGATACAGTGTGATTCATTATCAATTATGTGAAATCGAGTGTTATTCGAGTCATCGAGTTATTTTGTGTGTTTTTAACGTAAAAAAATGTTTTTTATATTGATTTATTTAATAAAGTAGGGTTTTTCATAGGTATAAGTGATAACGAAACATCTTATATACAGTGTGATTAAAAAAACATAATATATTTTCACGTTAATTGAAGGTAAAGCGAAAAATTAAATTTTTGCATTATGTATACTGTGTAGGTATGTATATACCTAATGTATGAGTGAAAGAATAACAAACACATTTTTTATACAGGGTATTTCAAAAATAATATTACTTCCGTTGAAGGACTAGGGTAAATATTTGAAACACGCATAACATAAAACATTAAAGTTTATCAGTCGGTATCAACCTCAGAATCAACTTCTTTATCGGAAACCACAACATCTTCATCCTCATTAACATTAGCCGGTACAGCGGGGGTCAGTTCGTTGCAACAATGTTCGTTCCCGTGACACATACAAAACATTGTGCAAGACAATCTAGCACCTTTACACCTACATCTTTTTGTGCTACACGGACTGGCACTTGAACAAGAGCAACGAATCAATTGTAATATATCGGAAGGTGCCAACTCGGCTCTTTCTGGTAGGGTGACTGGTAACAAATGCTTTCCGTTGGCATCTCTTCCGTTGAGAATAAATGTTTTTTATATCAACTGAGTTCCAAATTCTTTCTTTATCTGCCAGTAGTTCTTTCACGGTCGGATTATATGGAATATCTTCTTCGTCGTTATTCTGGCCTGATCGTCGTTTGGCTAACAAAATAACTTTTTGGCCCGTAAATCTGTTTCGACAATCCAGATGGTATCTGGCGTCTACTGTATAGCTAATCTTAGACTAACTTCAGAAGCCCAGGTATCATTCCTTTCTATACAGGTTTTCAAAATCGCTTCTTTAATTACCATATTCTTAAAGTTGTCTTCTAAAGCGCGGAACTGGAAAGCCGCTCTCCATCGATGTGGGCGCTTTTCATCTTTTTCTAGTTCACACTTTAGTCCACAAAACAAACAGTTTTCTATGAAGATAAAGATTGGCACTTCTGAACGTCGCTGCATTTTCTTACTTGAAGTTCCAGCCTTGTTGATATCATTGTCCAGGGATAAGGTCCTTTTCAAATATGTTTTGGATGTGTACGCCCAAGCAGCATTTGGACGTCGGGACAACGTTGTGTCACGCGACCAAACGTCGGGGCGCAACGTCGGCACAACCTCGTGCCAACCCTAGTCTGCACTAGTTTGGAGAATAATTTTTGGGTCGAAACGACGTTGGATACCGACGTTGGCTAGAAGCCTAATTTAGTACAATCTGCAACGTTGTTTAAAATCCTAATTCACAGAAATACAAAACTAATATGGCGTCTAAGTCGCGTTTTATCCTAAATTGGGATAATTATAGTAAAAATATTATTTTTATGGTTTAGTTAAAGACATATGTCAGATGGCAGTGAAGGAAAACAAAACAAAAGTATTTAAGTGTGGAGGATGTTTGAAGATCATAATTATTGAAACACTTTAACCGACTCTGTAACTCGTTACCCAAGGCAAAAAAGTTAAACGCAAAAAACTTTATTGATAAATGTATTGTTTCTACTTTGAAAAATACTAATGGGCCTTAAAATTAAAGAAGTTTTAAAAAAAAATTTGAATTTTTTTTGTAGTAAAATGAGAATAATTCATTCGCAGTCGAAAAAATTGTTTCCGCGTGTTTTTTAGGGTCAAATATTTCAAGTTAATGTATTCAAAAAGCAGGAATTGCTATTTTAGAAACGAAACATTTTCTTATTTAACAACATGGCGGCTTGCACTTTGTTATTTTGGAGATTAAGATGGAGTAGTTCGAGTAGTCGCATACTGGACTAATAAAGTCGCAGTTCGGCCTTAACAAGTAGTATACTAGTCGCAAGATTGCCTAATTTAGTCATCCTAGAGTCTAGCTTGTGCCGCCCTCTATAATCTAAATAAACGAGGGAGTGGATAAACTATCGGTAATATATGTCGATGTATATTTAAATTTAGTTTTATATGTACCTTTCTTATGTCCCATTTTAATTAAGTTTTTTTATAAAAACAAAAACAGCACTGAACTGTCTGACTGAACAGAACAATGAAGTGAAAATTTAAGATTTAAGGTTATGGTTCAATACAGTTGCAAAAAGGTAGTGACCCGACGTCCTACCAACGTAAGAATAAGGAAATCTAAACAACGTTGGAATTAGTAAAACAGACGACGTTTGCATAACGTTGGAATAGGTCCTGAAACTGACGTCGGAAAACTCTATATTGTCCAACGTTGTAGCTACGTTGCCCGAATCACCTAAAGATCACTTAAGCAAAAAGGTTAGAAGACAACGTTTATTCGACGTCGCAGAAGCTTCTACTTTGCTGTAGTACAAGTCCAACGTCGGCACAACGTTATAAAAACGTTTAAATTTATTTTAATACCTAAGGTAGGGAGCTAACTATTTTTTGTAACTAATCCAACGTTGTGTTTAGTAAACATGTGGTCGCAAGTCGTGAAAATGCTACTTGGGCGTCGAAACGCAACCTCTGTGACATAGTAAACGAAAATCCTTGTCCGTAGTGATCTTCTCTTCCAATTCTTCACATTTACCATCTTGATACACTTTGCTATACTTTATAATAGTTTCTATGCGTTGTGCACCAGCAACTGAAAGTTTTTCACTTTTCTTCTGACAGGAAAACTTCCAGTCAAAAAAACACTTTTCACTCATGTTTAACTAGGTATTATTGTTACAATCAAATTTTAATCTGAAAGAGAAATCACTGTTATCTTTCTGCCTTGGAATAGACCTTTATGTCTAAATTATAAGCTCTGCAGTTTGCAGTGCCGACACCAGTGAGTAGTCGGAATCGGCCGTTCCATCAGATTTAAAATTTCTTGAACTTTGAACGGCCAACTACAGCTTGCAACTGCGAACTGTAGGGCTTATAAATTATTAGGCTTTAATTAATGACACTGATATTAAACTAAGCATTTTCCTTCATCGCCCTGAAAAAGATATATTTAGTATAACATAATTATTTTAGTAATAAAATTGAGTTAATGGAGCCTTAATGAAAATTTTTATGATATTTATATTATTTCTTTTCACTGATACTTTAGGTTACAAACTAAAAGTATCAGCAACTGTAATGAAAAGTCCTATATTTATATGCATTAACATTTTTGTTGAGGCTTCATTAACTCAATGTTATTGCTTTACTCTAAATTATTAAAAATGTGTGTTAAACATGTCACACAAAATCATCGGTAATTCAAAGACCTTCGAACCTTAACCTAAAATTATTAATGCCAATAATGAGTGTTGAATTCAATTTAAGATAGAAAGTTCTAAAAACAAGAAAAATATTAATCGGAAAAATGTAGGGATACGTTTTATTTTTTTTAATCACCCTGTATATTGGTAAAGGTAAGCCTATATTTAATATAAATACAATAAATTGACCAACCCATACAAAAATTAAGGCCTAAAGCTTAAAAACCTATCGAATACATTTTTATGTCTTATAGTTTGGGACACCCTGTATATCTGGATTTCCTCAAGGGTGACAGCTTGTCATCAGCCGGTTATGGAAAATAGACATATAGATCTATAATAATCCGTCATAAAAAAAACTTAATCCCACAATTGGCACTTCAGGGAAAAATCCGAGTTCTGCTGCCGGACTAATATAATTTACATGCAGTGTGCGAAATAGGTATTTCGCGCATTACTTCGCGCACCGTGCCATTGTAACGTAGGAAAATGAAAAAAAGTGTCACTTGGCACATTGCTATCAATTCGCAAACCTTGTCATTTTTTGACGTTCGTTTGTAGAAAAAAACAGATTTACCCAACGGACAAAGAAAGCGTAACATTTCTTTGCTTGAAGCTACGACACACTATTGCCGGACCCTGTATAAGCTCTCTTTATGTCAATGGATCTACGTCAATCCCAACAAATTTAGTGATATTTTCCTTACTGTCGGTTACACAATTATTCCCCCATGGCTTCCAAAGCTTATCAGAATTATATTTCTACCAAGGTAAAATAATCTGAACATTTATTGAAATAGATTATAATACTTTTTTCCATAACAACTGTTAAAATTGCCTTATATCTATCTAAAATAGTGGATAAAATA